ACCATTCAGGAAGTACAGCCAGTGGCATACACACACCCCCATCGTTGGTGGCTCATAAGTAGTGGAACAGACCAACATCATGACACATAAGGATTGCCTTTAATACCTGGATGAAAATCCTTTGCAGTCAATAACTGCCTGAAGTCTAGAACCCATGGACATGACCAAATGCTGAGCTTCCTCCTTCGAGATGCTTTGCCAAGCCTTTACTGCAGCTGCCTTCAGCTGCTGCTTGTTTGTGGGTCTTTCTGCTTTCAGTCTTGTCTTCAGGAAGTGAAAAGCATGCTCTATTGGGCTGAGATCAGGTGACTGACTTGGCCATTGAAGAACATCCCACTTCTTTGCCTTGAGAAACTCTTGGGTAGCTGTTGCTGTATGTTTTGGGTCATTATCCATCTGCCATATGAAGCGGCGTCCTATCAGTTTGGCAGCATTTGGCTGAATCTGAGCAGAAAGTATAGCCCTATACACTGCAGAATTCATCCTGCTGCTTTTATCAGCAGTCAGGTCATCAACAAACACCAGTGACCCGGTTCCATTGGCAGCCATACATGCCCATGCCATAACACTGCCTCCACCATGATTGACAGATGATGTGGCATGCTTTGGATCATGAGCTGTTCCTTTCCTTCTCTATACTTTTCTCTTCCCATCATTCTGGTGCAAGTAATCTTGGTTTCATCAGTCCAAAGAATCTTATTCCAGAACTGGGCAGGCTTTTTTAGGTGTTTCCTGGCAAAGTCTAATCTGGCCTTTCTGTTCTTGTTTCTGTTACCAGTGGTTTGCACCTTGTTGTATTTACATTCATAAAGCCGTCTCTTGACTGTAGATGTTGACAATGACATGCTTACCTCCTCAAGAGCGTTCTTGACCTGGCTAGATGTGAAAGGGTTCCTCTTCACCATGAGCAGAATTCTGTGGTCATCCACTTTAGTTGTCTTCTGTGGTCTTTCCTGCGCTTTGGTGTTTTTGGTCCTGGCCCTTGAAATCATCCTTTTTTTTGTT